CACACACACACACACACACACACACACACACACACACACACACACACACACACACACACACACACACACACACACACACACACAATCGTACATATACACTACATATATATATCTATATATGCTTTCTTCATATTACCTTTAAAAATATGTCTGCATAAACAAATAAGCGCAATAGTATTCTGTTTTTGGGCTTTGGCTTCCTCGCCACTTGAGGGAAGAAATGGAAATTCTTTATCAACAACTATATAACGTAAAACACCAGCCATAGTCAGGTCGTGCTTACTAGCCCGCACAAGATCTAGGGTCATTGAAGCAAGCAACGTGAGCTAGACTTCGATAAAGCTCCAGTTTGACCAGCTTTGAAAATTTGTAGCTTTGATGACAACTGATTACTTAAGCGCGATTAGCTGACCATAAACAAACATACAAGCAGACAAAAACAGTTTAAAATACCACGATCCTTAGGAGACCTCTCTGTAAAGAGGCTGATGTTAGTGCCAAACTATATGATAAAGAGGATACCAAGTCAACACCATTGATTAGTCCAACGGTACAACAGGTCAAATCAAATGACCTATGACCTCGAAGCAACCCCACTGCAGGCCGAGAGGACGCGCACCTGAAGGTGGCGGCACAGCAAGGCGGTCGCGCCTAGCTGATCACGCTATAGCAGCCATATTGAAATGGCAAGCTATTAAATACCGATATTTATTTTCACAATAATTGACTCCTTAAAATACATCAGCCATAATGCATTTCATTAAACCGTCCTAAGAACAGTCCAATAGAGGCGACCCCAATGGTACAGTATCTGATATCCTCATCATCGAGGAACCCACTACCCTGACCGAGGTCAGGAAATAACTCTTTTTTAACACTATAACACTATTTTGCCGGACTTGAAGAGGGGTGTGGTCGTCTCTCGATTCATATTCAAATAGGAATGTATTCTATATGTTTACGAGGGGCTTCAAAAATTTCGTGAAAAAAGGATTGTATGAAAGACGGTCTAAGTTATGTTTTTTTTTCAAGATATGCTCCATTAAGGTCAATACACTACAAGGCAAACGTTGCTACCAGCATCTAAGTCCCTTTGAGTGAAACTGAGGGTCAAGTGATCTGAACCATGTCAAAGCACCTCTGTTAAATCTTCAATCGATGGGACATTGGTAACTTTCAATTATTTTCAAAAGTTTGGAAACAAAAGAAGTCGGATGGGATTAAATCGGGGATGTCGACTTCCCATCAAAATTCTCGTAGCACATCTCTTGTCTGCCAAGCGCCGTGAGCGGGTGCATTGTCGTAGTGGAAGAGAATGCGTTGATGCAGCTTTCCAGGCTGTTTTTCTGAGATTTATTTTTGGACAATTTTCTCAAAACGCATTCATATTAAGCAGATGTAATTGTTTTCTTGCTCTCGAGGAAATCAACCAGTAAGATCCCCTCTGCATCCTAGGAGTCAATGGTCATGATTTTTCGTCTTTTTTTGAATGCTCAGATTTTACTTTGACTGGTCCACTTCCACCTCTAGGCAGCCACTGCTTTGATTGAATTTTGACCTCGAGATTGAACTGGTAGAGCCATGTTTCATCCCCTGTCTGCAGAAAAGTTTCAGAGTCCTCATTCCACTGGTTCAATATTTCCATTGAAAGATCTACCCTTGTTTGCTGCTGATCTGGGCACAACAGTCTAGGGACCCATCGAGCGGAAAGCTTGCTTAACCCCAAACTCTGTGTGTGCATAAATCACAGAAATGTTGAGTGTGTCTGCTGCTGATTCGGTGTTTTTTTCGTATATCCTTTTCAATCATGTCGCCAACAGTATCAATGTTTTCCTCACAAACTGACGTTGATGGCCTGTCACTGCGGGGCTCATCTTTAATTTCGTTTCTTCCACTTCTGAAACGACTTATCCATTTGTAGGTTGTTTATTTCTTTGGAGTATTGTTACTGTAAACTTGTCCCAGAGCATCAATGATTTGCCTATTCTCCCAACCGAGTTTCATTATGAATTTAATGTTTATCCTGGCCTCGATTTTGGTGGATTCCATGTACCTGCATTTAAGGGTTTAATTTTTTAATGTTCTTCCATATGATTTTTAGTTATGGATTTTTTTCTACGAACTTTTTGAAGCCCCCTCTTACAGATATCTTCTTGTGAAAATGAAAACTACTGGAAGTTACTCTTTAAGAAACTCATTAACTTTTATGAAGTTTAGGTTAGATTAACTTTGGTAAACACTTATTGAAAACCATTGCCCTGTGGAAAATTAAGACAATCCTCGCAAGGGGACAGCAACCACTAAGACATTACATACCAGGCAAAGTGCTTGCCAGCTTCCTCCTGAGATATCAGACACCACCAGAGTTTCTGTTTGCGACCTTTGATACTTTTAGCAGTAAGGTGAAACCATTGAGTCTAGAAGCTTCTTGGACTAAGGCCAAGATCCGGAAATTTTGAGGTTTTGGGAGATGAATTCATTATTCTAGGATGTTGGAATAGAAAAAATCAACAAATGGATTGGCAGTATTCATGAGCTCTTGATGGGAATTGTATGGATAATTGGTACCTGTGTAGAGGAATCAAGCTACACAACTTCAAGGTCCTAGTATAACCATGTTAATTGTACATTGGCAGAGTCTCTAGCAATATAGGATGGAGGAGGCTCTAAATTGTGGGTCAGGCAAATTGACCGAACTTTGCATGAGGAATTTGAGAAGTGTTTGACAGCTTGCTAAGAGGGACAAGTTAATCTCCGTTGATTGACTGCCTGACAGGTTTATTTTCCCAGGAAACTCCAAATGTCATGCAGAAGAATCCTCAGAATAAGCCAAGACTTGATATTAACTTCATAGAATATGTTAGCGTCGCACTTGTCAGTTGCTCTGCCTTGTAGTGAACATTTCCAATTTTTTAATTAAGTTGCCAAGCAACATATACATACACACACTCACGTAAACATATTATATATGTATATATATACAGACATTATATATATATATATATATATATATATATATATATATATATATATATATATATATATATATATATATACATACATACATACATATATATATATATATATATATATATATATATATATATATATATATATATATATATATATATATATGTAAGTAGTTTAAACCGTCATTAGATTTTGTTTATGTCTCCTGTTTATAAAGTTACAAGTGGGTTGAAAAGGTCCCCCTGCACTTGGTGAGTGCTGTGCATGAGTTTGTGGATGGAGATCGAAGGGGCAGCTACCTGTCTGCTCAGCTGGCAAAAGCCCAACCCGGCTAGTGTGTAATGTGTGTGGCTGTGCCCAGGACTGCTACAATTTAGATATGCGTGTTACACATACACATATTCGTATCAGCATATGCACATGCATGCAAACAACGCGCAAGCACGAAAACAAATGTCTGACTCCTCGAAGGAAGATATTTCCCTGGCAGCATCCTTTAAGAGGCAAAGTTTTCCCCCTATCCACGTGGACGTATGGGACATGTTCTTAGAGAAACATGCTTACTAGACCACAGGATGATGCGCTATGATGGCCAGTTCTTTTTCGCCCCGACTTTGACTTCAGCATGCTGACATCAGCATACCAGTGCTCATCCACAGCCGAGTCGACCGAGGGGGCGGCCGGGCGCGAACCTCGTCATCCAAGCGTGCCAAGGGGAAATCCGGGGCTTGCTATGTTATCCTTCCTTCTTACCAGCTCTCAACTTTATCATTGATTTAATCCTTTTTTTATTCAAATTAGCTATTTACTTGGTCATTATGTCCACGATGCTGATTCATACAATCAAGGCCAGTTATCCAGTTTAAAGTTGCTCCCTTTAGAATATTTTTAATCGTTATAACGTATTGTAACAAAGGAAGGACTTTTTCGAGGCATCGATTTTTCAGTTGTCTATATGAATATTCAGCTGTGCAATACAATATTACATTTTCATCCTTCCGCGAGCCAGCTCTTTGCTCGTAAACGCAAAAAAATAAATGCAATAAGAGTGAGATAAAAGAAAAGTTTTTGTTTTGGATTTTTTTGTAACATGTTAGATAAACCAAAGAAATTGTAATTTCTTTTCTGTTGAGCATTTTCCAAATGACAACACAATTCACTGCATTTCTTAATTCAAGCTTGCTTATTTACCTTTTTTCATACAGAAGGCCATGTTATTATTCAATCACAAAATCAAAATTATTTATATCGAGTTAGAGTGACGAAAATAACATCAGTCGCCTGCAATTGTCTACAAATGTCTCATCTATCAGAAGGGACTCATTACCTCGATTCGCGTCTGTTCAGTAATGTCAGGGAGTATTGTATCAGTGTCTCCGTCCTTGTGATTGTGGTTTTATGGAATGCGTTGATGATAAGACGGTGAGGGAGGCAGGGACGGTTAGCGGCACGAATCGTCGGTTGCATCTAACTACATCATCATGAGGGTGACGGGTTTGCGCTAATGGCTAATGGCAGATATTGAGGTAATTTCGTGCTATTTGCTAATTGGACTTTCATGGGACTGCTGACCACCGTGTCCTGGCCGGTGAAAGGTGCGCGCTGGATGATGTTAGAAGCTGCTAGATGTCTATCTGTGCATTTCCTATCTGGGGGGGGGGGGGGTACTCTCCTAATGAGATTTCTGGGGAGATGAAGGGGGCCTTGGGTCAGATCTCCGCCCGGGAGTTGCTGGTTCGGAGAGAACGAAAGAGGGACGGACTTAGCGAGCGTGGGAACGTGCAGTGTGTTTGGGCGCTGTGGGAGCTGCGGGGCGGGGGGGGGGGGGGGCGATCGAACAGAAAAGATTTCCCTCCTGAATATCATTTTTCCATATATAATCTATGATGTTTGGGACGGGGGGGGGGGGAGACCGGGGCGAAAAACGGACAGAGGAGGGAATAAATATGTATTTTTTAAGGCCAATAAAATAAACATAAACATGCATAAATCAACAGACAAACAGAAATATCCACGGGTTCAGCCCTCACCTCAGCGTCGCTTGGGCGTACCATTCGATGGCTCCCTTCTTGACGGCCGCCACGACCTCGCCTCGCACCTC